CTTAAAAAAAAAAAAAAAAAGAAATGCAGAAACTCCGGCCTCATCCTTAGAACCCAGTAGAGTCAGAATCTACATTTTTACCATGATCTCCAAGAGATTTATATGCACATTAAGTATTGAGAAGTACTGCCTTAAAATAATTGGGGAGACGGATAAAAGAAACAAGATGGGCAAATATTGATGATTATTGAAGCTAGGGGATAAGTGCATGGGGATATAATTGATTATAAATTAAGTATTTTTAAACCAGGGACTAACAGACTAGATCATTGTGTGTGTGTGTGTGTGTGTGTGTGTGTATTCAATCCAGTGATTTGTTTTTTGTCTGTTTAAGCTGTAAGTGTTTAAGCTGTAAGTGTTGACATCAGTATTGCCTGATTCCCTCCCCTTCTTACTGCACAGCTTGTTAAGTTACTGAGTAATGTTAAAAAATCCTGAATTCATATTTCTCTTAAAAGCGTTCTTGTCAAATCAAATTGTTCCTTTAAAATTTATGAAAAAGACTTATTTTAACTACTAATGCCAATTTATGGTCAACTCCTCCCTCTAGGCACGCTTAAAAAGACCTCTTAAGAGTCTTGATGGTGCTCTGTATGATGACGACTATGACGAGAGAGCGAGCAAGTAAGTCGTGATGGATTTTACTGTCCTGCTAAGTGTTGCGGCTGAAAGGCAGACATTTTAGGATTTCAAAAGATAATCAAAGGATGTACACTCCTAGAGATCAGATTTTGCTCCCTTGCAGTGTTCTTCAGCAAAATTAACCAGTGCTCATTGGAGTCTCATGGGGGATGAATCTTGAGATGGGAAAGCAAGCTAGATCTGAAATATCTTGTTCTTGGAAAGTGGTAAGGCCTACAGAAATATCTGCGATAGTGTTAAAGGGGAAATAGGAGCCCACCTAAGTTCGACCCCTACCCTGCTCATGAAGAGGGGCAGGTTAAATGGCAGCAACAGTGATAATAGTCAATTAAAACAAGCTAGGGAAGGGGAGGGCTTTAAATCTGTGGTGATATCAGAAGAGGAAATTTTAATACAAAGTATTAAAAATTAATTTCACCATAAAGGGCAATAACAATAGCGTTTAGTTTTTTTAAACAATTTAAACTTATATGGGGGTGACAAAATGGACAGTCTTTTTTTCTCCATTAAGTATATCTTTGTCTATATAAAGGAATATGCACTCTTCTCTAAAATATTTGAATAAATAAATAAAGGGAAAACCACACAAATATTGAAAGTGAACTCAGGCTATAGCAAGCTTTCCAAAAGTTCCATCTACTATTTCTAAGGCTAATGTCCCAAATCCCACAGAACTAGACTGTGTGAAAAGCACTGCTTTGGCTTGCAGATTGAGTAAGGTCCCATAGCTATCTGTTTGTATTTTCTTAGTGCACATACTCAAAATTTCCTGTATTTGAATTGGTATACACACATCACTCTAAAGAATTTGGCCATGAACCAATTCACCATTTTGTTGTTCTGCTGAGAAGCACTTTGGTTTTAAGACTCTCTCACTGATGGAATGTAACTGGGGAGAGGTTGCTCACATACATGTGTAGGTGTGTGAGCGTGTAGGAGTGACTGCTAATGCATGCTTCATTTTCCTTCAGGTTGTCCTCTGAAGATGGAGAAGAAGCTTCTGCCTATTTTTATGAAAGTGATGACTCCGTTGAAACAAGAGTAAAGAGTCCTTACTCAGGCGAAATGGACCTCCTAGGAGAAATCTTAGACACATTGAGCACACACAGCTCAGACCAAGGAAAGCTAGCAGCAGCGAAGAGCTTGGATTTCTTCAGATCAATGGATGATATTGATTACAAACCTACGGTTAGTTGATTTTTTCAGCCTATAAAATTAAATGAGGGGGTGCCTGGGTGGCTCAGTTGGTTAGGCGACTGGCTTTGGCTCAGGTCATGATCCTGGAGTCCCAAGATCGAGTCCCGCATTGGGCTCCCTGCTCGGCAGGGAGTCTGCTTCTCCCTCTAACCCTCCCCCCTCTCATGCTCTCTCTCATTCTCTCTCTCAAATAAATAAAAATCTATTTAAAAAAATTAAATGAAAACATTCTTACCCTTTGGTGTGCATTGCCTCATGTTATAATCTTAGTTGGTCAAAGCATTTAACCTCTAACAGGGAAGTAGTCAACTCTTCAAAAATATGAGAAAATTTAATCATTAAGAATTATTTCTAGTTTCAGAATTCTGTATTTTCCCATTTATGTATCCAGTTCTGGTGGTTATTGACATTCATTGGAAAAATTTTTTATCAAGCCGTAATATTCTCTTACAATCTAGTTTTATAGTTGTCTTTTCTGGGGAATTTTTTAAGTATGAAATGTTCCCATTTTTTTCCATATTTCCTGGATCTTTGAAAATATGTTTAAGAAATGTCTCAATTCAAGTAGTTTTTCATTATATTGCTTCAAAAATGAAGAGTGTTTTAAACATAGTGAAATAAATGTTTTAAAAACACAAGAGATGGAAGTGTGAGTAATGGCCACACTGTGGTGATTGTAATTCCAGAACTTGGCTTGATGTAGTTGGTCTATTTGGGGGTTTTGAGGGGCTGGGGTTGGCAGGTTTTTTTCATTTACCTTTTCAGCTTTGTTGAAATATAATTGATAAATAAAAAATTGTATATGTTTATGTATTTTCTTGTTAATAGAGCCATTTGCAGGTGCTCAGAATTAACGCTGTATTTCCTCTGGGGGGGACTTCCCAGTTGTCAGCCTTGAAAGATATTAATATTTTATTTCAAAATGGAAAAAAAATGCTCATGTAACATAATCTCATTAAAATTTTTCTGAATTTGTTGTTTCTTCTTTCAGAATACATCCAATGCACCCAGTGAGAATAATCTGGCCCTGCTTTGCAGTGGTTCTGGTGATCAAGTAGAGTGGCATCTCGGGCAAGATGATAGTGCCCTCCATGGCAAACACCTTCCTCCCTCTCCCCGGAAGCGCGTTTCCTGCAGCGGTTTGACAGATTCTCTGTTTATCCTGAAGGAGGAAAACAATGAAAAATACCTCAATGTTGACAATATGAGGGAGCCTGCGGTCATGGAAAAGCCATCTTCTGCCTCAGGATTGGATCTCCAGCTCGCTTCGCCTGAAGTTTCCGAAAATGAAAAAGCTAAAACAGAAAAGAAAGAAACACTAAGCCAGATTTCAGACGATCTGCTTACACCCAGCCTTGGGCGACATTCATCTACTTTTGTTCCTTGGGAGAAAGAAGGGAAAGAAGCCAAAGAGACTTCAGAAGATTCTGGACTGCTTCATGAAGTAGTGTCGTTATGTCATATAACATCTGCCTTCCAGCAAGACTTAAACATTTCAGAAGAAAACACGCGTGAAAACCACCCTTAAATCAACTATTAAGAGTCACTCACTTGCATCCAAGCTTCTAGGGAGACATTTTAGGATTCCTTGTAATCTCTATAGTAAACAGAATTATTTGTGGGAATGACAGTTCTTAGTGCTGTCTAAAAGTTATTTTTCATTTGGAACATACATTTTCTCCACTCATTCATCTCGTGAATATATATTATCGATTGATTTTTAAATGTAAAGCTGATTCTTCTACTGTGCTCTTAAATCAGGTACTAGTTTGTATGTATATTGGAAGTATATGTCAAACATGATTTCCCAGTATTTGGTGCTTAATGCCATTCATTTTATTTAAACTAATATGCATATATAACCCTTGCGCATAACCAGTAGCGACCCTACTAATCTGGTTGAGCATGAACTGGTCAGGATATCAAAACTTATCAAAACTAGCCTGAAACTGCTGAAACTGTTGACCCACTAACTGCCTTAATCCTAAGCCTATATTTAGCATACTTTAATAATTTATGGAATTACCTGTAAATTTTGAAGGATAAGTTATAAGTGTTCTGCAGAGCAATAATGCCTTTTTCTATTCGTTGAATCAAGGACAAAATTCATTTTTCAAAATTTAAAAGCTCTCTTGTGGACACTGCAGCCATGTTTTCCAAAATGTATAAAGGTACACATTTACCTTTCACTCAGTGAAATATATGAAGTGCTGAATTACAATGTGAAATTAATGACTTCTGTTTACAAATGAGACACTTTAAAATTTTTTCAGTCTCTCTGTATGCCTTTGCTATCTAGGAATCCAGCCCCAGAAAGCCAAATGCAACACGAACTGTCCTGATAAAGAAATGTTCCTGTTTTGTTTTGTTTTTTTCTTAACTAATAATTCAAAACATTTCTTATCATCGCAAATTTACTTTTTAAAATAATTGACTTTATATTTTAGAAGTTTTAGATCTACAGAAAAATTACAAAGAAAGTACAGAGAGTCCCCATTATGTCCCTGCATACAATCTCCCCTATGATTAATGTTTTACTTTGGTATGGTACGTTTGCCACAATTGGTGAACCAGTATTGATAGTCCCTGTTTTATTCAGATTTCCTTAGTTTTTCCCTAATGTCTTTTTTCTCTTCCAGAATCCCATTCAAGACACCACATTACATTTGGTTGTCATGTGTCTTTAGATTCCTCTTGGCTGGGACATCTTCTCATTTTCCTTTTTTCTGATAACCCTGACAGGTTTAAAGAGTACTGATCTGCTGGTTGAATATATTATAGAATGTCCCTCTATTAGAATTTGTCTGCTGTTTTTCTCATGATTACACTGTGATTGTGGGCTTGGGGGAGGAAGATTACAGAAGTAAAAGGTCATTTTCATTACATCATACCCAAGGTACATAATGTCAGCATGATTTGTGAATGTTGATGTTGACTTTGATAACCTAGCTGAGGTGGTGTTCGTCAGGTTTTTCCTCTATGCTCTTTTCCCTCCCTTTCTATACTGTAGTCTTCGGAAGGAAGTCCCAGTATATAGCCCACACCTAAGGAGTAGGGCTTTATGCTTCCTCTCCCTTAGGGTGGAGTATCTACAAAAATTATTTGGAATCCTTCTGCATAGGAGATTCGTCTCTTCTCCTTCAAATTCACTGCTAAACATTGAAATTCATCTCAGAAGGCATCATGCATTGACTGCTTCATGATAGGCTAGATTGACAGGAAAAAATAAAGGGAAAAAAACAGTGGTGTTACGGTTAATTTGGTATTTGTATATTCAATATATATCCTGTACATCCCCAATCATGATTATTTTTTAAAAATTGTCATTTTAGAAAAGTTGTTTGAGAAACCATTCAAGAGCCCCATCAGGACTGTACCCTAAAATATTTACTGAAAGAATTTAATTTTCAGCTAAAAAAAACCCTGGAAGGGGATTTGTTAAAAACATTGCTTAAAAATATTTATCCAGGTCAGTCTTTAAATAATTTAAAGAAAATGACCAAGTTTTTTTCTTTTCTAAGCTACATTCCAAAATCTAAACAGATATGTTTTATTGGGGACAATTATTTATTCATGTTTGTAAAGGAAGACAAATCTCGTTTTCCTTATAAGGAGGGAGTCGTGTATATTAAGGAAAAAAGTGTTTAATCCTTATTTTATTAACACAAAAGTAAGACTCATGGTTCTTGTCAAATTTTGCCTTTATCTACTCATTACAAAATTCCATTTCACTTTGTCAAAGCATGTGGATTTATCAGAAGAGCTGTTTTAAATGAGAAGGAAAAAAGATCACTCCGGTGGTTAATCTGCTTGGCAAATATTTCTTGGTGATTTTTTAAAAAGAAAAAGTCTTTTAATATGACTATTGAAATGCATGTTTTCCTTCAGGATTCATAGTCTGAAGAATGAGATAATTGAGAGTGTAGCATAGGTAAAATTGGAGTTTTAGTCCATTTGCTTAATAAACATCGTGGCCTCAGAAATGTAGGTTCTTCTATCATCTGATCACCTCATGAGATGTTTGACTACAAGACTGTTGCCGTGAGGCCACTCACAAGGATATTTGCATCAAGGTATTTTTGAACTGGACCTGTGCCTTATTCTAACATGCAAAATCAGCTTTTATATTCTGTTAAAAAACAAAAGCTCTACATGTTATTCTTGGAAAAAATCCAGAAAGCTAGTATCCAAGAGACTACTAATCCAAAAGCATTAGTATTTCAAATCATTAATATTTTGAGTATTCAGTCTGCTCTTAAACTAGACTTCCCAGTATTATGGTGGATATAGGGAGAATAAAGTGAAATTAAGGTGAATTCTGAAACAAACAAAAGTATTATTTTATTTTCTCCCATGTTCATATTTTCTATTATAACTAAATGAAATATTTGTATAAACTCCTCTGCTGTTTGAATTTGTTTTTCAAAGAAGCTTTACCTGTTCTGCCAGAGTTGTATAAATGAATAAGTCTTTGGCTATCGTGCGCCATCTTTTATGTGGCCTCTAAACCGTCGTGATTCTCCCTGAATCCCACTCTAGCTTTTATCCTTTGGGTCCTTAAATATTGCATCTATGATATTTCAGGGGGAGATAGAAGAGTCATGTGTGAATTTAAGAGCTCTTGTTTTGTTAGGTCAACGTGTTGTTAAGTGGTAAATTTTGATGGTTACCTACTTTAGCATATTTTAGGAAGGTACCAAAACATAGCAGGATGATTTTTCTGTTCCTAACTCATTGCACTTAGGAAATATTTATCGACCCTTTGTACGGGTCGTATACAAGGTACAGTAACTGGGGATATAAGGAAATAAAATAAGTAACATAGCCCCTGCTCTGAAGGAACCAATTAAAAGGGAAAGAAATGACAAATCTCTGTTAGCCCAAGGTTCTAACACCAAAAAAAAAAAAAGTCCTTTAAAGCTGCTCAATCTAAAACATGCTCTAAGTATAGAACCACGGTACCACTTCTAATTTCATTAACTTTATTATTTTAACAAATATAATAATGCTGCTATTTTAAGATACCTACTTTTAAAGGACAGACTTAGAAGCTCTTAGAAACTAAGTGTCCTTGTTTCTCTGATTCTCTGTCCCCACTATGCTCAATCTTTTGACCAGGCAGCACAGAGCTCTAGAATGGCATGATGCTCCTTTGTAATCATTAGACCACTTTACTTACTTTAGGATTAACTGAGGGTGTAGGTGCATGTTGATGGAAACTAGTTTTTACTGTCTTTATCTTGATAATAGCATTTCTCTAGAAACAGCCTCCCCTGTCCCCGCCTCTTAAATTAAAAGTGTATTTAACAGTGCTGTTGTTCAGATTCTGTGCTAATATCCTTATAATGGGATTCAGGAATGTTCATGAATTAGTTGTTTCTTAAATAACATGAAGAGGTAGTCTCCTGATCAAGAGGAGAAAACTGTGAATATTCTCATAATCAGCAGTAGATCTTCCTTCTCATCTAGAAAATCTGGAATTTCAGGAAAATATTATTTTTATGAATAAATTTGTTTAGCATAAAAGACCCTAACTCTGGGTAGATACTTGTAAGTCAGAACACAAATTTCAGAAAGTGAATGAATATCCAAATCTAATTCCCCAAAGCACTTCTTAATATAAGGAAATAGCTTTTACAGATTCTGTGTCAGGACCCACGTCTTTCCTGTGTCGAGCCTGATAACTTTGTTAGTGTCTGTTTCTTAAAGCTTACTTAAGAGGCAGAACAGCTTTGAGCAAACTGGTTAACATTTTTATTCGGTCAAGATATAGGGAATCGTGTATTTAGAAAAGCATATTTTATTTTGAAAATAATAGGATTTTGTGCAATATTTTTCCTGCATAATTTAGTTCATATAAATATGCACATCTGCTTTTTTAGCAGATGCCTTAAGGTCATGTTTTTCAGTATTTGTGTAAAGCTCTATGTAGCAATGTTCTATGTGATCTTAGAAAAAATTATATTGTTGGGAGGAGAAATGTTTTTGTTTATTTAAAATAATTATGGATATTGCATTATTGTATCATAACTAACTGCCTCAGCAACCATAAATATGCAATAAGAAAATCCTGAACCTTAGGTTAGTATTGACAATACTGTTACTTTAAAAGAAGTGTATATAGTGCTAAATGCTGATTCTACATGTGTACATTTAACAAATATTCAGTTCTGTACCACATAAATCTAAATGGCATTTGTATGGTGATGACCACGTATGTAGATTGTAATATCCTTTGTGATGAATCTTTGGTAAGATTTATAAAGGGCATTGCCAATACTTCTTGACTGTCTATAAATTAAGTTAATTTTTATATAATGTACAGTTTGTTTAACCTTAGAGCTTCTATAGATTTCTACTTTTATTATACTTGAATGAGGCAGAAAAGCACTGTGGAAAATCTGTAGCTCTCGATGTGATATGCATACATACCAAAAAATTAAACAAGGTACTGAGCAGCAATGTCAAGTAGATGCTTTATATCCAGAAAGCTATGTTTTCTTCAAACCATACTTTAGTTAAGTAATTTAAAATACACAATCTTTTATCTTAAAAGGTTGCAAAGTCACAAATTATTACCTCTTTGATGTGAGAAACCTCTAGGTCTCTTTTGTCTCCGTGTTATTTCACTTCTCAGATGAGAACCTTAATGAGGTACCTTACAAATCCACCCTCTGGTTGGTTATGCGATGTTTAGGACAGGACCGAACTTGAACTCTGTGCATGCTCAACGCACCATCCTTCAGGTAGTGTAACTTCCATGTGGTTATTTTGAGAACCATTCAGTGATCCTATACCCAAAACAAGATTTCTTGAATCTGTTACGATTTAGTACGTACAGCAATGCCTAAAACAGCAAACAAGTATGAATTGCATGAAGTCTACAACTTAATATGCATTAAGGTACATGAGAGGTTAAAACGGAACTTTCCCAAAGCTTATTTCTTTTGCTTTAAATGAATAACTGTTTAAAAGGACTGAAAATCTTGAGCTTTTTGCCAGACAGGGTGACAGGTGTCTGTAAAGACCTACCCAGCATTGAGATTTGTTTCACTGTGCTTGCATCCTTGAGGCTACAGTATAAATCATCTCTAAAGTTGACTACTATTGGGAGGACATTGTACATAAAAGTATTGTTTGGGGAATTTTTTGAAAAATATGCAAACATAAATCTTGGATGAACTACATACTACCATGAAGTGCCCAACAATGCAGTTATGAAATAAAATTGGTCATAATTAAAATTTTGCATGGTGGTGACTCTTCTTTTCTAATTAGCCAGTTACTCCTCTCAGTGTTCCAGGTGAGATGCT